TGAGGTGTATTGGGCACCTTGTACGTCTGACCCTGTCCGAAGGGCGTATGATCCGATGAACTGGACACCGGCTCCCAATGGACTGCGGTTTTTGCACACCGCCCCGCTGCCTTGCGGGTCAGGCTTTGGCTAGCCGAAGGCTCCGGTTGTGGATTCCTCAAGAAAATTCACCTGCCTTGGCCTGGGCAACCTGGCAGTACTCAGCCCACAAGCCAATCGTGGAACATTTTTCTTTTTATAAAGATTATTGTACCATGATTTGTTTGGCACACAGTCTGTCCTCAGACAAGTGTGAAATATATATATATATATACCAACTAGTCTACCCTGGTACCTTGCAAACTGTTCTTGGTTGTTCCGGTTTCTTTATAAATCGTCCTACAACGATATATCGCTTTCATGCTACGGCGTTCCCGGAAGCGACGTGGTCTGCATTCTCCCAGTGGCAGGGGTGACAAATGAGCTAGCTGGGAACCTAAACCTTCAATACACCAGATCCAGGATCCACGTAGCTTGCTAGACACAGGGAGACAGTGTATCACAATGCGTTCACTGCGCGACTACAAAGTAGACATCTGTTGTCTATCCGAAGCCCGACTACCTAACTCTGGCACAGAACTAACCATCGTACCACATAGCGACGCAACCTATCGGTTATACCACAGCGAACCAACTGATAACTTCGGTTTGCAGGGAGTAGCGATCGCCTGGAGCAACCGGGCTAACAATGTCATGTTCTCCTGGGAACTACTCTCTCTCCCAGATTTGCCATAGCGCTCTTCAGGTGTAAGCCGTTTAACTTGACTGTCATCGCAGTCTATACCCTAACGGTACATGCGTAAGCGCCCATCAAACATGACTTGTAAGATCAGGTTAAATATACATTGAACCACAGTCCGATACGCGATATTCTCCTTACCGCAGGAGACTAGAATGCACGCACTGGTCCTGACAAGAATGCCTGGCATATTCAGTTTTGGTCAATATTGCGAAAATCATGTTCACCTAGTCACATTTGCAGACTTTAAGCGACTGGTCGTGGCCAACACCCGTTTTAAGCAACCGAGAAAACACCTATTTACTTGGTATTCGAATGACGGTCGAACGGCGGATCCGAATGATTACATTTTGGGACTTGTTCGCTGGGCCTCTTCAGTAGACTGTCTTTTCTGTCGTGGGGCACAATCTGGAAATAGGAACGGTACCTTCGTACCCTAGTAAGCGCTCGCTTCAAGATCCACGTGACCGCTTGCCGGAGGACTCGTTTCACATGGAAATTCAACGTCGCTGTCTTGGGGCAACCTGCGAAAAGGCAGGCGCTGCTGGATGCAACCGCTTCCAACATAGCCGCAAATTCTCTCGTTGATTCAACTGTCGATGCACAGTGGTCCACACTGAAAACGTCCACCAGAGAAGAGACGCTGAGTAGTTAGATAAGATTCTTCGCCATAAAAGCGACTAGATCTCCGACTGAACACAAGAGAGGTACGGCTGATTAATTCTCCTGAATTCCGTATTCTACGTCGCCAAGCCACACACTCCGCCAAAAGGGACCATAAACAATACTCGAAGGCGATTGCAGATAGCAGAGAGGCTGCAACCGTCCCAACAGAATTTGGAAAGCTATTTCGTCCAATCCGTGTGGCAGCAGGAAAGAGACAGACATCGGATTAACTGTTGCCCAACACCACGGGCCAACTTTTTCAGGGAAATGCACAGAGAATGCAAAGGTAGGTCGAGCGCTTCGACGGGTTGCTCAATCTGGCCCTCCACAGGTGTTAAGCAGTTCAGAGACCTAGGACGTCAATTATGACTCGNGTACGAATTAAATCGCAACTGCAGTGACTTTTCTGAAAAGTGGGAACGCCCGTGAAGAAGACGGCCATCATCAGAGCTACTTAAAACTTCCCTACCATTTCTCATCGGGAAGACTGCACTCTTTTCCCACTCACTTTGGAAAAGTGAAGCTTTTCCAAAAGGCTGGGCAGATTCAATTTTAGTTCCGGTTCCAAAAAGGGTGACAAATCAAACTGAAAAAATTTCAGGGATATCAACCTCATTGATATTGCGACCAACTTGTTTGCAATGATACCGCTTCTCAGTCCTCAGGGATACCCGCACTCGCCCGAATCAAGGAAGTAGGCTTTACCATGGAAGAGGCTATGTTGAACAACCCTTTACTCCCGTAAGGTTTCTGGAACACTGCGACACGTTTCGGTACCTATGGAGAAGTTGAGTTTACGCTGAGCTCTGGGGTCAATCTAGGTTGCCCCCTATGGCCGGTGTTATTCAATTACACCAAAAATTGGATAATGCGACAAGCACTCACCGACAACCCCGGAATGTAGCTTGGCCTAGATAGATCAATTGTGGACCGCGGGTTGGCGGATTATGCCGTCGCACTTCGTGACACCATGGAAAACCTCCAACCTGTTGTCCCTCGCAATAATCAGCTTGCCCATGTCATTGAGCCAGAAATCAGTAGGTGGAAAACGGAGACATTTTCGATCGAAACTTCTGCCACAACACAACACTTCTCGGCTCATAAGGAGCTCTTCGAATCATTCGAAGTTTTCAAGTATCTTGACTCCACAATCAGACCAAACGGTCAGGCTAAGGATGAAATCTAACTTTTTGTAGATGGAGTTAGGAGACCCTTCCTAGAACTTCTCAGAACTTTATGGAATCGATGTGAAATATGGTTAAACTTGAAGCTTCGGTTTTATCGGGCTTTCACCCACCCCATCCTCACTTATGGCTGTGAAATGTGGCCCCTAAGAGAACAAAGAAGAACGAGGTGGTACGTATGCCACATCTTGGAATAAATTTGGAGTTATCAGGTTTCCAATGACGAGGTTCGAAGGCCCTTCTCAAATGTCGAGAAGCTTTCAAAGGTGCTACCACGTCGGCACATTCAGTGGTTTGACCATATTCTATGAAGGCCCGACACTCAACTCTTGAGGTAGGCTTTAGCCCATGCACCGTGCTGTGGACGGTGTTGCCGACTCGGTGGTCAACTGAAGACCTGGAGTAGTACGATCAAGGCCCACTTGGAATTCCTGGGCCTCCAATTCGTATATGCAACTCGTAACTGGAACCAGAACTAGGCCCTACACTGCGCCGACGTTGCCCCCGATCTTCACGCACGGGCAGTCATCACTTGAGACATCCTAGAAGCCTACTTATTCTCCTGCAGGAGTTAGTCACTCAAAAATTAAAGTAAATGAAGTAAGTTGGATTATGCGGCTACAAGGTGATGCAATGGGATATCTGGGAGCCTCTATTCCAAGTGTTTCGGCATATTTTCAAACTGATCTTAATTCCAGATCGTGTATCTACATTTCATCGGAGAAGCTACTTTCCTTTGAGTAGCACATAGAGATTTTACCGGATTGCGTGCAAAACATACTTCTCAGCAGTTGGAAAGCGGTTCTCGGATCTCAGATGGACCGAGTTTATTTTAATTGTTCGTTTCAAACGTTTTATCACCAGTCGAGCAGTCATCTTAACGCTTTTGCCTGTCTTAAAATATTGGAAACGTCTCCGACATTAAGAGAGGGAGAATCAGAGCGGTGAATTCAGTGAGATTCAGCATACACGAGGTCGAGTGATTGTGTAACGGCAGTTTGAAAAGGCCTGGCAAACTGTGAGGGTAGTGAAATCATTGTTTTGTATGGTGTCCACCTATTCGTTGGAGGCGGCCGCTGAAACTGTATGTAGAGAGGATTGATCCATTCGCTCTATCAGTCTAAGACCTCTGAACGTTGCTCTCATGCCGTACATGCGTAATAGGTAAGATTAGGTCAACCCAATGCGACGAATTTTGTTGATTGACAGGAGACATTCGGATGAGAACAAAATTGCTGGATTATTTGTTTAAAACGGATGAGATCATTAGGTGGTGGGATGAAAAGTTCGGGGTAAAACTTTTCACTAACCCATGGTTCTTGGAACAAAGAAGAAACCATAAATATTGTGGTATTTGGATATGCAACATATTACCGATTATACCAACCAACAACATGAATGGGTAGTATCACATATAGAAATTTAAATTGACTGAAAACGGACCGCACATTACATGTTTAGCACGACCGGCGATTTTCATCACAACTTTACCTGGAAGATATATGAGACGAAACATGAGATTAACTGCCCGGTGGACCAGGGTTCAGCTAACGAGGCTAATCTGCAACAAAATGGGTGATTAACACGTTGAGTACTGGAAATTCAACCGTTTCAACCTCATGAAAAATTGCCAATACCCGGGGTTGATGCATTGCATTCCTTGCGTGGATCTTGTTTCTTGGAAGTTCTAGTTATCATATAGCGACAACCTTGTTGAACCAAAATCGCTTTAACACAAAGGTTCGAGGTTCAATCCTCCCCACCGTCCGCCGGAAACACAAAAATAGCACGCATTGTGGACCAGCCCCAACAAGCTCTTTATTCCCCTTCATATAAATTAATTGAAAACTGAAACATAAAAATATGACAAATGAGTAAGCTCCTCGTGAATACATCCCACATCTGTAGTAAAACAATACATCACTCTGATCCTGACATCTATGCATTCACATGGGAATGTAACGAATACATATTTGGATCTCGCAATGAATTCAAGATGAACTCTCATAAATAGGATCGTCTGAATTAGGGGAAGCATCTTTGGAGACGGCGGAAGAATTCCGATACAAATAGATAGTTGAAACTCTAAATTTTGTAAAAATTGCCGTTATCAAATAGTTCACTCCTTAACCAACGTTATTTTCAGTGTCTAACTATTATCCGAAGCTTTGAACATACTTGGGAAGTAGGCAAATGTAACACAGTGAAAAGTATATATATATATATAAATGCATCTGTAATGTTAATTAACACAATATGTGAACTATTGTCATTTTCTATGCGATTCTGGCAGATACCCAGAAATTCTGTTGTAATATATTACGATGGAACAAAACCTGATTTGAGATACGATTTACTCAAAATTCTACCTTAACGAATGGCCGATAAGTATGTCCACGAAATCGTCACTGGTAGTGGTTGTGTACATATCATTAGTTTTAGCCAAAATCAGTTTACTGTTCAACAGTCGTAATCACTTGCTGAAACCTAAAACGAAACCCGACTCTTTATGCCAGCCAATAGGTGGTATTCTAAGCTTCACTGTTCCTGTGAATTCGGACTTGTGAGGTTTACCGTTAGCAGTACGAACCCCATGTTATCATTGAATAGGGAGAACGAGTTTCATTATCCCGCTCATTCTACACGAGGTTTTCTGGGAGACAGGGTTGATGAATGCAGATTTAGACTCAAACAATGCACCTCGACGCAGCATAGAAAACAATACCACTTTGGTAGCGCCACAACGGGTACTTACCTTCCATTTCAGTCAGATCGATCGGGAATGTAAAAAAGCATATTTCCGGATCTTCGTCCACACAGTGAAAGTCGAAATAGATCACATCTCTCGGTTTGATCTGAAATGTTGATAGAAAACAACTTGCAAAGTGTGTTCAAAAGATTGCTCAGAGCTGCAATATCAATACTCCCGTAGCTGATTGTTGGTTTCCAGTGAATCTTTCTGGATGGGACTGGGCACAAAAGGCGCAATAGAGCAGTTACCGATATTGTGGAAACAATACCCTCTACTGTAATATATACATCTTCTGATTCTAGGGTAGATATTCTCTAATAATCCGATTTAAAAATAATGGAAAATATTTGTACGTGCACATTCAAGTGATTGTGGCGGG